GGCCAAGGGAATCGAGTAAGTTAAAGACAAACATCAATTTGCATAGATAATTTTTATTTTTGGAAATATATTTTCCAAAATATTTGTCCGTCCTTTGTAAGTCCTTCCACTCCATCCTTTGTGATCTTCACCTACACTGGTTAAATGGAAGGCGAGGAAAGTAACCACTGCATAAACGTGACTGTTCCCTTTTGCTTGTGGTTGGAGTTGTGAAAATTATTTGTCATCGAACTTGTGATGGGTGTCATTGACTGAAACACGGTCAACATTTTATATTATCGAGTCCCAGTTTGTGGTAATGTTATATTGTAGGTTCAGAAACATAGATGACCAAACTATAACAGACTTATGCTCATAGTCAATCATGTCCAGAAAATAAATCAAAAGAAGTTGATTTTTTTTTTTACCAGTTATGAAGAGATAAACTGTAACTTGAAGAACAAGCCGGAGTTTCTCTTGGAGCGACATCCAGATGGGAAGGTCCCCGTCTTCGAACACAACGGCAAAGTCGTCATCGAGTCCAATGTCATCTGTGATCTCCTTGACGAGGTGTATCCCAACCGCCTCTCTACCCCAAGGATCCATTTGAGAAGGCCAAGGATAAGATCGTCATGGAAACCTATTCATCAAAGGTAGTTATTTTTTTGTTCTTTCAAATCATCTCCAACCTGTCTGTCGTGTTATCAAATATCCTTCTACCTGTATGTGCCGCAGATGAGGTCGGCTAGTCTCACTGGGATTTTCTTACACAGACATAAGGTGGTTGTCAGAGGAGCTAGGATTGTCAGGGTCAACATACGCTATGGGGGACGACTCTCACCGAGTCATTTGGCTACCTTTGAATGAAGAACTTGTGAAAAATGAAAATTATTTGATCAAAAAGTTTCGGAGTAATTCAAAAATTAAGCAAAAGGGACAGCACTTTTTTGTTCTCATCCCACCGCGGAGGGTATTTTGTTGCATTAAAAACTTAGGGAAGCCTGAAGCATTCTTGTTTTGTGAATGCTTTTGCAGAAGAAGTCCGTGTCTGTTGTTTCTGTACAAAATACTGTCAATAGCAGGTGGGGAGGCCGGGAGGGGGTTTCTGACCAAAAAAATGGCAAATGGGGGGGGGGGGAACAGTTGCCTCCCCTGCCAAGGGCAGAATGCAGTCCTCTTTAACCAGTTAACACCGCAGGACGTGTAAACACGATCTGGCAATGTATATTCACAGGGGCGGGTGACGGGTTAAACCATCATCAAGCATTCCTGAGTCTCCAGCTGTGGCTGTGTATACTCGTCATTGGCTCTCCATGGTTTTGTTCACACCATGTTTTGGACTTGAACTTGGCCACTGTACATGGCCTGTGAGAAGTATGGTACAAATATTGTACAAATGACTCTTAAGAGTCAGTATATGTGGTGTTTGATGCAATTTTCACAAATGGATGAGATATCTTGCCTTTTTCAAAAAAACAATTTTTTTTGCCCAAAATAAAACACTGTCGTCTGATTGGTTGACTCTTCAGGTGATTCCAGCATTCTACCAGGCAATCAGGTCAGGAGGCAGAACGAAGAAGAAGCAGCCACAAAACTCCTGGCTGGCCTGACCTTGTTTGATGCCGAGCTCAAGAAACGAGGAACTCCGTTCTTTGGCGGTAAGAAATTTGGCAAACTGAAAATGCAACATGAATTTCATTGCCCGTAATGGCACACAGGGCTTTTTTGTTTAAAGGCATATAGGTTCATTTGCGTTTCCTGCAATCTTAATAGCACCACTTAAAATCCAGAAGAAGTAAAACCTAACCTGTTGAAGTTTTAGCTCAGTGGATGTTACACTTTTAGAGAAAAGTGTAGAAAACCATCACAACCTTTTGATCACGAAACATGATTTTGTCTAGATAGAACTGAAACTGTTAAAAACACGCTAAACATTTCACAAAGGGTTGGGGGGGGGGCTGGCAAAACACATGATTTCTACTGCAATTTCCTGAAGATGACAGCTGACATCAGTTGCATGGTTTTTTTGGGGGGGGGGGGGTGCAACATATTTCTTGCCGAGACTTGTTCTTTTCTTTTGTTCATTAGCCTCTGACAGCACTCTGCCGGCATAGTTACATGTGCTCTGACCAGAGAGTGCTATAACGACACACTTTTAAGGGTTAAATGAAAGAAAAAAATCCAAACTAAAATTAAGAAACACTAAAAATATCACAAGAGGTGGGGGGGGGGGGCCTGGCCGGAATAGTTGTTTACAGATGCGCTGACCTAGAGGGTGCTATAATGACATAATTTTAAGGGGCAATGAAAGAAATTTTTTTTTTAGAAACACTAAAAATTTCACAAGGGGTGGGGGGGGGGGGCTGACAAAACACATGATATCTACTGCAATTTCCTGAAGATGACATCTGACATGGGCGGGAGGGGTGCAACATATATTTCTTGCCAAGAATTTCTCTTTTGTGAGCTTCACTCTGAATTTCCCGACCTCTTGATTCCCTGCTACAGGCCAGCAGCCCAACATGGTGGACTTCAACACCTGGCCCTTCAACGAGCGCCTGGCGGTCTCGGACCCGCTGATGGACCTCATCAAGGCCAAGCTGCCGGACCTGGACGCCTACTTCCAGCGGATGGTGGCCAACCCAACCGTCAAGGCCATCATCAACAGCAAAGAGATCTACCTGAAGTTCTTCGAGGGCTACGTGACCGGCAATTATCAGTACGATTTCTGACTAGATGGAAAGACACCAAGTCTTCAAATGGAAAAAGACTCGGGCTACTCACTGGCAAAGCTATAAAAATCATCCAATTTTTAAAATCATTGTTTACAGGGTGACCGTAAGGTCAGAGCCAAATTCTGCTAAATGCGCATCAAAAATCTGTCAGATTTATCAAAAATCTGCCAAATTCCCCAGAATTACTCGAAATACACTATGAACACTTAAAATTACATGCAGATTTGTAGGATTGCCTTAATTAAGATTCAAATTACATATAAACAATCTAGTCAAATAAAGATGTTGTTCATTTTGGTAAATTTCGGGCAAAACGTGGATCCGGCCACGACGAAGTCCATTTCCCAGTGAACCTCAGCACCTAGACCAGCCATCCTGTGGTTTGTTTGAAAGGATTGAAGGTTTATTAAATAAATGTGCACTTTTTAGTTCAAATTTGCTGTTTTTCTGCCAGAAATCTACCAAATAAATCCATTCTGTCAAATTTTCTGTCAAACTCGTTTTTGAACAAAAATTCTGTCAAAGTTAGCCAAAAATCGGCTAAAACGGTCACCATGATTGTTTACTCTTCTCCATGTTTCTACAATTAAGCAATTTGTAAAACATTACTAATCATGTTCCATGGTTTGCTAATGACAAAACCAATATCAACAGATCTCTAACTATGGGTAATTTATAGATTTAACCATAATTGAGTTTTTACATGTGGGTAAGTATTTTCCAATGTCAAGATAGTTGCCCAGAAAATGATTGAAAGCCTGTATGGCAAAATTGATTTAGTTTTATCCTTACTTGAGGGTCATCTACATATTTTTACTATAAAAAGCTGATTTAAAAAAAATCAGGGATTTAAAATAGCAGTATTGTATTCTTACGGCCTAATTATTATTAAATAATCTTGATAGATTGGTTGTAAATCTATTACAATGTCAATGTATTTTTCGTGGGTGTCACTTTGTATCTTTCAAATTGTATTCATAAATTCCCGAGACAGTTTACCCATTCTATTGGTTGAGAGCCCATCACATGGGTGGTTTTACACCGCTGCATTCTGCGCCCCGTCGCACACTATGCGCTGTGCGCCAGTCTCCATTTCAGGAGATTTTTAGCATTACCCGCGAGGCACATACCATAGACATAGGCCGGATGGGTATTTCTCCAAACATGAAGTAAAACTGTTGAACAGATCGTTGGAAAATTGACTGAAATGTATTTACAAATAGGAATTCTGCTCGGGCCATTATCAGTGACCGGGCCCCTATCCGGTTTTAATAAACTTCTTTCACATGATATAAACATTGAATAACAATCTGTTTATTGGTCAGTTCATTTTATGACATTTCTTGTTTGTTTTGTTTGTTTCAAAAAAATTCACGATTTTGATGTTTTTTTTTTTTTTAAGTCTACATTCGCCAGGGTTCGAAAACCTTCATTGGTACAACTTCAGTGCACCCATCTACTGTAATATTACATGTAGTTGAAAGACAGCTTTAACACTGCTTTTCTAGAACTGACAGGCAACTGGTATTATTCAAGGTCTACTTCCATAACATGTGCTCCACAAGTATCAGCAGAGAGCGCTATAGAATTCTGCTGGTAGCTTTTCTTCATGAGTGTACCCCCCCCCCCCCACCCAAAGTACATGGCTCTACTTCAAAAGTTCAGAGTTCATATGTCCTCTTTAATGCTTAGAGAGCATTTCCTTGCCACTTTGTTTTTTTTAAATGCGCTAAAGCTATCGTGCACTTTAATTTCATGCACTGTTCAGTGGCGTACCCAAGGGGGGGGGGGGGCATCGGGGCCCCCTCCAAAGAGGTTATCAATTATTTTCTTCTTGTGGGGTCAATTTTTTAGTCAAACGATTTGACCGTGGTGATATGTATGTGGTTTATTTTCAAGTAGTATAATAGGGGTGTAAATGGTGCCACACCAACGTCAAAATATCCCCCCCCCCAAAAAAAAAAATATATATATATATATAATTATTTTTCGGCCAAAAAAATTTGGGCAACATTTTGTATTCAAAGTTCTACAAAAAAAAATTGAAAACGAATTTGTTAGCCCCCAAGCCAAATCCAGGGTGCGCCACTGGCATTGTTCTTGTAATAATTAACTACATTATTCTGTTTAAAAAAAATTGATGGGTCAAGTTTTGTTAGACGGACTTTGAACGTTTCAATTGACATTTGAAATTCTATTAGACAAGCTGCGGTCAGATTTAACAAGTGAAATAAAAGAGTGGTAAATCGAATTTGAATGAGTCTGCAGTTTTTTTGTGACAAGGCATTTTTGGTGCGACTCAACAAATTTTTCATTAATTATATCAAGCGAAGGCTTGTGTCTTCATCAAGCAGTCAACGTCAGCAGCACAGCCAAGCAACAGCGATCATGTCACAAAAACACCTAGAAGCTGGTAAGCAAGATACATTTACCCTTTTTGACCTAAAAGGCCTACTTGTTCACAATTTTAATTCACACAGCTATCCTTTTAAATCATGAGAACATGGTCTGTATGTGTTGTTGTTGTTGTTGAAGAATATGTATTTTTCTCTTAAAACTTGTGGATTTTCAAAGCCGACTGCCCTTTTCTCGGGGAAAAAATGCAAAATTCCACGCCTTCCATAAAAGTGTTTCCCCTTAAGAAGTTGTTTGCGACGGACCTTCAATGGACATATTGCGTTAAGGTGGAGACAGATTGAGGGCAGTGGTTTTGTATGCATGACCTGGCAGGACTAAACATTTGTACAATAACGCAACTTATGCAAGACTCCCTTCAACTACCTGAGACTCATAAGGTAGGCTATATCATTCATGTAAAGACAAAGGGGGAAAAAATGTTGCAACCTGACGTCACTTCTGCGATTGTGTACAAAGTCTATGGAGAGTCAAGAAAATTTCATAAGTATTTCCTAACAAAATTGGAAATATTTCTTAGTCCCAGATTCATGTCTTATTATCATATTTGCAATGAATGACCTTCATTGAGATGATAATATGAAGAAAAAAGTGGCGTCAGATTGCAATATTCTGTCCAAGACAAATTGCACAGCATGTCCACATCCTTCAAAAAAAGGAGATGGGGATTAAATGCCTTAAATGAACAGGAGCATAATCTTTTTGATTAATTTATCAATTATTTTGATAATGTGTACAGGTCAGCCTCTGCCAGCCTTAAAGGATGGCTCCATTCGTCTCTTCAGCATGAAGTACTGTCCATTTGCACAGCGCGCTCGCTTGGTTCTAAAGGCCAAGGGAATCGAGTAAGATACTTTATAAATAATAAACGTTGATGAATGCATTTAATAGAATATATTTCATGTGGTGACAAATGTAATGTTCCATTCTACAAGGTGAAGTCGAGTGGAGTGGAACATTCCATCTCCGTCACCTCATGAACTTATTCTTTCCATTGCACGAATGTGAAACATGCATTATTTGTTCTATACAGCGCCTGTTTGAATTCTCGTTATTTGATTGGTAATACATGCAGTGTGACAGTGTAAAAACTTATATTTTACGGTGGAATAGACTGTTGGCGCGTGGTCAACAGTCCACCAATCATTATTCATCTAGGCTATTCGTTTAAAAAAGAAGAAGAAGTAAACAACTAAAAAAAAAAACATTAACAAACACAATAAAACATCACACCGGTACATAATAAATTACACTCATCATAATAAATTGCACTCATAGTCAATCTGTCTGGCAAAATGAATCAAATTTACTTGTAATTGTTTTTTTTCACCCAAGTTATGAAGTGATCAACTGCAACTTGAAGAAGAAGCCGGAGTTTCTTTTCGAGCGAGAGCCGGAAGGGAAGGTCCCAATCTTCGAACACAACGGCAAAGTCATCTCTGAGTCCAACATCATCTGCGATTTCCTGGACGAGGTGTATCCCGACCCGCCTCTCTACCCCAAGGATCCGTATGATAAGGCCAAGGATAAGATGTTCATGGAAGCCTTTTCATCAAAGGTACCTATGATTTGTTTGTTTGTTGGGCTGTTGGTTTGTTTGTTGGGGATGGTTTTTTTTTTTTTTTTTTTTTGTTATAGAAACTATCTCAATCTGTGTCCCTCGTGTACCACATATATTTTTCCTCCTGACAATTAACTAAAACGCCTTCCACCGATTGGATAAAAATTTACACCAATCTTCTTTAAACTGAATACATTTGAATCAGAGTGGAATTCTAGCTCCTCTGCAATGTGGCAAAAAAGGCTTTTCTGCAAAGCCTGTTGATTTTTAAAACCTTATTAAAGATATAGTCCATCATTTGTAATTTGTGCATTTTGTTCGTTTGAAGCAACACAAGTGTTCAAAATCTAATGAAGGATACTGAACAACTAACCTGATGAAGTTTCAGTTCAGCTTCAGCTGTATATTTGCTTTAAAAATTCGGAAATGTGGGCTTGAAGCATTCTTTGTGTGTGGGTGTGAGCTTGTCTTACATACGCAGTGTGGACTTCCGAACAAAAGACGTCCACATAATGTAGGTAGCACCGACGTTGTGTGGACTTGCCCACGTCCACACAGTGTTTCCCCATTTCTGGAAAACAGGTTTAGAGGCATTTTTGGGTTAGGTTTATCAGTAGCAGAATGAAGAGAAACACTAAAGGGAATCATTGAAAAAAAATTGGGTTGTAAGAGTTTTCACAGTTTGAGAAAAATGAGGTTTTTCCACTGGTGTTCCTTAACTACACGAAAAGAAAGGTAAGTCCACACTACGTATGTGAAACAAGTCTGCATGTGTGGGTGTGGGTGTGTGTGTGTGTGTGTGAAGGCATTTGGGAGAATAAGTCTACAAGAATCCCCCACCAACCCAAAGAAAGGGAAAAACGAATCCTGTCACTGAAGCGTAGACCTCATTTTTCCTTGATGACAGATTTGAATAGTTTTTAATATATATCCTACCGATCGACGACTTATAGCCAATGTTTCAGCGTGTCTCAAAATAAAGCCAATATCGCCCATCAGGCCGGCATTTATCTCCGGTTTCCTTGGCATGAAACTTCTGCGAATATTCATATTCCCACTGGATGGGATGCCGGTCCATCGCAGGTTACTCCCCAGCTAATGCCGGTACCCATTTATACTCCTGGGTGGAGAGAGGCAAGTGGGGGTGAAGTGGCTTGTCCAAGGACGCAACATATGGTCAACAGCTGGATTCGAACCCCTGACCCTCTGGTCATGAGTCACGAACCTTAACCACTAGGCCACACACAGTCCAGGGTGGATCAAAATGGGGAATATAATACAAAAGAGTAACCCGTGATTGTTTTCCCCCATAAAAATACTTTCAGTAGCAGGTGGCGGAGGAAGGGAGGGGAGGGGTGGCTGTACAGTTTTTACTTTTAGAATTTTCAATTTCTGAACCGTCGCCCCCCCCCCAAAAGGCAAATAGTCACCTCCCAAGTTGCCTCCCCTGCACCCCATTGGCTGCAGTGGTGGTTTTGTTTTAAAGAAATTCAAGCTGTCAACCGTTTTGAACTTGAACTTGAACTTGGCCACACATGGCCTGTCGTTGTATCAAATCTCTCTCCGTGGCGGGGCCTCAGAGTGTTGATGAAGTTATGGTGAGAAGTATTCTACAAAATGTACAAATGACTCTCAAGAGTCAGTATTTGTGGTGTTTGACGCAATTTTCACAGTTGGGCGAGCTATGTTGCCTTTTTTTAAAAATGGTCTTTTTTCGGCCCAAAATTGTCTTTTTCGGCCGCAAGTTGTTAAGAAGTTAAAAAAACTGTCATCTGATTGTTTGACTCTTCAGGTGATTCCAGCATACTTCGGGTATGTCATGTCTGGAGAAAAGAACAAAGAAGCAGCCACAAAACATCTGGTTGCCATGACCTTGTTTGATGCCGAGCTCAAGAAAAGAGGAACTCCGTTCTTTGGCGGTAAAAATTAACTTGGAAACTGAAAAACCAGCATTCATTTCATTGCCCATAATGGCACAAAAGGACTTTTGTGTTTAAATAGAACTCATATTTTATATTTTACTTCCTTCGTGAGCCTTGTATTTTGTATTAGTGCTGGGAGGTGCAGTTGGTAATCTTTATCTGAATGGGCCATTTAAAAAAAAAAGAAATTAGCAAAAGAATGTGCTGTGACGACACAATTTTAGGGTTGAACAAAAAACATCAAAAATATCAAGACATAGTAAAAAAGTATATCACATGGGGAGCAGGACTAGCACAATGCATAATTTCTACTGCAATTTCCTAAATATATCTTGGCAGTGTACGTACATCAGTCACATGTTTTGTGGGGTGCAGCATATATTTTACCAGGAATTAATTTTCTTGTTTTGCGGGCGGTGAGCTTCATTCTGAATTTCCTGATCGTTTGATTTCCTGCCACGTACAGGCCAGCAGCCCAGCATGGTTGACTTCAATGCCTGGTCCTTTAACGAGCGAACTATGGCCTCCGATTCGCTGATGAGCGCCGTCAAGACCAAGCTTCCGGCTCTGGACGCCTACTACAAGCGGATGGTGGCCAACCCGACCGTCAAGGCCGTCCTCAACAGCAAAGAGGCCCACCAGAAGTACAACCAGGCATATGTGACCGGGACTTTCTTGTACGACTTCTAGGCTGACTGGATGGAAAGGCACCAAGTCTTCAAAAGGAAAAAGATTCCCGTCACTCACCGGCAGAGCCATAAAATAAGTTTTCTTTGTTTACTCCTCTTCATTTTGTCTACAAAAGTAATTCACTTTAATTTCAGATCATGTCAAATAAATAAAATAAAATAACCAATACTTTGCTAATGACAAAACCGGTATCAAGCAGATCACTAATTACGGTAATACATACATTTAACCGTATCTAGTTTTTAGGTAGGCCTATTTTTTTTTCAATGTGGAGAGAGTGGACCTGTGGCTTTCAGGCAATATTTTCTGGTCCACTATCTCGACGAAGTATCCGTACTTTGGTGTCAGTCTTACAGTTGTATCCCCCTTTCTTCAACAAATTGGAGGGTTTTATCTTAATAAATGTTAAACTTGTATATTCTATTCCAACCGAAAAAAAACGGGTTTTTTTAATTCTGGGCACATCGAGACTGTGAGAACGCAGTTATGTGGGGAGCAAGTCATTCGAAATTTGTAATAAAGTAATAATTCAATAAATTCAATTGCTAACATTGTCCAACTTGTTTTTCTGTTGATTATCATTCAGAAGTGAATAACTTTTGTATATTGCTAGAAAAATAGCAATTTTGAAAAAGGTATGTATTTTTTTTCTCGGAAAGAAACTTGAAATCAGCAAGGGTAAAACAACATTAAGCTAAATTGTTACTGAACTACAGATTTGATTTTACTCAGCTGTACTGTTCATTGGACAAAGACTTTATTTTTTATTTTTTTCAACTCAGTGACTAGAAAATAGTTGGTGGAATGGTATGGTAATTCTTTGGGCCCCGAGATTATTGAAATAAATTGGTAGATCATGTGATAGATTAATTCTATGTATTCTTCACAATGTCATTCCTGTAGCGAAAATGTATCTTTCAAATTTTATCAGTGTCATATTTGGTGTGAATACTTTGAATAAAGAACCATTAATTTATGGGCAATTTGAAGACATGTTCTGACAAATATTGCTGTCTGTGTTATTGATGTGGTGTCTTTTTGTGTTGGTGCACATTTTTGTTATAGGGTTCTACCTTCTGCTTCACAATGTTCGTGGACCCACTGCTCCCTCTTTTGGTAAACAGGAAACATTAATTGTTTCAAATTCCATTACCCGTGGACATGAATGATGGCAATACCAATTGGTTACTTTGCATAATGTCTCAAAACTTATACTGTCATATTGATACAATTGTTCGGGGTTTTTTGGTTAAAAAGAGAAATTGGGCTTGAACCTGCAACCTCGCGCTCTGCCAACTATTTGTTCAAGGGGCGCTAGTCATTTACCTCGATCTGCAATGCAGCCAGGGAACATTGACAGTAAGCCCTGGCGTCAGTGGCGCACCCGGGGGCGGGGGGGGGGGGGCCTCGGGGGCTTGAGAGCCCCCCCCCCCAAAATGTTTTATCAAGTTAAAAACATTCCGAGTAGTATAACAGAGGTGTAAGTGGTGCCACAAACGTCAAAATGTCCCCCCCCCCCAAAAAAAAAAAAAAAAACCACACAATTTTTTTTCTGCGGCCAAATATTTAAGGCAAAATAGAAAAGAAAATTAAATTAAAAAAGATTGGAAAAAAAAAAATTGTGAACCCCCAAGCCAAATTCTGGCATTACTGCCTGGCATTACGTTTCTATGGAGACTATCGATGCAGCTTTTGGAATAATCATCAAAAAAAACAACAGACAATGTGTGTCTCATTTAACCGAGACGGACGATGCAGCCTTGACAAGTGAGATTGGCACAGTGAGTGATGTGTTTATGGAGTCGGTCAATACCAACAAACAACAACGCAGGCCTCGAATGATTGACAGGCAGCCCAATCCAAATATGTGTCCGATATCACCATGGAAACTACACAACAAAACTCCTATATAATCTTATTGCTTGGTGAGCTCCCTCAATACAAAGAAGCATCAAAACACAGCCAATGCTGAGGACTTGGTCGACCCGGTTGGACAATGTCTCCTCATTTAAGTGCAAGTCGCATGCATGCCGGTACCGACCTGAGACGAAAGTTGACCGTTCAATTAGAAAGGATTCCATAAAGCCACTGAGGTTTTCTTGACATTGTTGAATTTTCGATACCGAGCCGATACCGAGTCTACTGTCAACCCAGTCGGTACCAAGTCTGCTACCAAATGTCCCCACCTTTGTTTCCATGGAAGCCTTTATAGATAGAGACTCATGTCGACACCTCAGTGATAATTCATTTCATTCCGCTGTGGGTAAGTCAAGAACCTTGACCACTGTTTCATGATTCTTTCACTTAGTGCAATCGGTTTATTTTACCGAGGCATCGAGACTGCCGCCTCAACAATGAACGTAAACCTTAATCGATATATGTATCTACTGCCACGAAATAACATTTAAGTTTGTCTATTAAGAATCGAAATTTAAATTACGTGTCACATCTACAACGCATATTGTCAAAGGAGAGATTTCATACTATTTGTTTTTGGGTTTTATTCGTGAGTGGTTTGATCCTCAAGGGAAATAACTCACATTCACATCAGTAACATCAGCTTTAGTAAAATATCATTTGCATCTTAAATGGCACAATGAAACCCCGCCGAGGTTATTAATGCAATTCAGTTTTAATTGATGCTATCGATTTCGTTGATGCGCAAGCGTAGGCCTATACATTTTTTTTCCGTTGAAATATACCAAGCGGTGTGCTCAGTTTCTCCATTTGTTGTTCGGTCGTCAGAGACGAAACACAGTCGCAATTTCCTGTATCAAAGCCATCCTTGGATCCAGCGGATACATCATACGATATCGAAAAACAGTCTTGACTGTATTAAATTTTGAACAATCTCAACAGGTATAAAAACGAACGTCGATTGTTGCTGGTGAAAAGGCTACAGGAATGGAGACATTGATGTCGCTTGTGATCGCACTCGTCGGTGTTGGAGCAGATGCATTCTGCCCTGACTGGGAGTGGTTTAATGGTATGGGATATTGCGTGACAAACGAAACAATGACATGGGCAAATGCTCAAATTGCCTGTTCTGAGGTTAGAGGCAGTTTGTGGTACCCTACTTCGGTAAGTGAGCAAGATTTCATATCTGGCATGGTAATGGGAGAGTTTGGGGACGCGTTAGAGTTGTGGATCAACTGTTTCGAAGCGTCATCACCGGGCGAATGGCTTCATTCCGATGATACTCCGTGTGAGAACCCTAACTGGTGTCATGTTTGTCCTAGAGGTTACACTGACCATTGCGCATATTGGCGCATGTACGACCGAATCTGGTTTGATTTCCCGTGCGCGCATGACTTGCACGCAATTTGTGAACTCGATGCCGAATCAACTGTCAACCCAGTTGATACCCTGCAGTCTACTGTCAACCCATTCGATACCGAGTCTACTGACGACCCTGTTGGTGTCAATAAGTTTGCTGCCCCATCGATGTTCTGCCTGAAGACCGACGCTGATGGCCGCCTCACATCCCAATAGTGGTCACGTCGAGGTCTCCACCACCAAGGGTGTCATCGCGTGTGGTTCGGCGTGCCGGAATGAGCCTCGATGACGCCTTGGAGGTCAGCCTTGGAGAGAAGATCTGTCAATTAAATGACATCACTCGCTATGAAGCCGGCAAAAGCGATATGGTATTTTACAAATATTGCTCAAATTTCGAAACCCAAATACGTTGTCCTAAAATGCTATAAGGTGTAAGAAAAGTGGCTATAGTAAGGTGGAAAACTTGGAGGGTTTTGAGAGAGATTGTGTTCAGAACAATAGATGGTAACAGAAAGTTCAATTCTGCTGAGAAAAAAAACAACTATATTAACATTTTACTCGCTTCTGCGAGACAACTGAATCGTTAAACATCTATCTTGAACGGAGAGAAACTTTTGAAGCAAGGTCGTTCAGGAATAGTGGATGAACTGGCAAACGCCACCAGAGAAACAGTCGCTGGTAAACAACTTAAATTTTTAATCATAAAATTGCTCATACATGTAAATGTTTTGAAATTTGCTAGCATTTTTCCGTATTGTGTTAACGATTGTGAGAGTTCACATTTTGCATCGCCTTTTGCACTTATTTTTTTTCAATTCACATTTTAGAAAATTAACATATTAAATCGAAAAATAAAGTTTTAGAATACATATAGTGTGTCTTGCTGGCATGGAAATATAGGACCGCTTTTACAACATTCATTTAGCGGCCTTTTTGAGGTAATAACAGTGGCGTAGCACGGTCTTTTTGTTGGTTGGGTAAAAATTATTGAAAAGGGCACTTGCACATCCGTGGTGAAATGTACCTGTACACGGTGAAGGCACCTGTGTTAAAACGGCTGATGAAAGCAAAAATGGCAAGATTACGTTTTACGGGCCACTTTTGTTCGGGAAAAAGGGCACTTTTTCGGACAAAAAGGCCACTTGTTCAGGAAAAAAGGGCACTCTTGACAAACATTGGGGGGGGGGGGGTACCCCCCCACCCCCGCTGGCTACGCCTATGAATAACATAAGGTATGCTTGTTCAGGAATCCTGAATGAACGTATACAAAGACCCTTTAACATCACTTTTAATTGCACCGTTCTTTATCATTTAAAATAATTAATAAAGTCAACTACTGAAATTAAATATTGAAATTTGCATCTTCTCGACACAAAATGTCATAGAATATTGCTTATTATCGTTTGAAATTATCTAACATTTTTTCGTACTAGGAGGATATTTTAAAACATCAGCTTCATGTTTCACAATTTTTATTGCCTTTCGCACCTGCATAAAAACATTTGAATTTGTAAATTGTTATGAAGAAATTTAACGTAGTGGTGACAGTAATTTAAGCTGTCCTAGTGCCTTAGTGATGAAGTTACAGTTGGATACGAGGAGAGCCATTTGCCTTGAAGTTTTACCAAATTGCACTTTTAAAAAGAACATTTCTTTATTGGTATTTTGACATGGAATTGCAAGCCGCGTTTTTCACTTTGTGTTGCACTTTCCACTTATTTAAACAATTTTGAAATGTGATAAATATGTGTTTGACTTCAAGGATCCATTTACGTACAGATTATTCTGAGTAGGATGACCTGTTTTTTAAATAATAGATCCCTCATCTATATGTATATGGGTTTTTTTCAAATTAATTTTATAAGTGCCCAGGAGCATGGTTCATTTTTATGGACGGGCGCTTTCAAACTTATTTATGCCCTATTATCAATTTTACATAATTGTATTATTATTTGTGAAGGAGAAACAAGGGTGCGGATGATCACTTGAAACGATTTTTTAATATCTCAAATTATAAATACTACACTTGTTAGAAAATGTTTTGATGTGACATGTATTCAAATGCTTTCAAATTAGTTGCGCTTTAATATAGGTTTTTCCGGCCAAGTTAGCAGATTTGGCGACCATTGGCGACCAATCACCATTTTCGAACTTGATGCTATCCACAATTATTTCAATGTCACATTAATTAATGCATTTTGCGATGTAGAGCAATTTCACAATTGATGCGCCATTAGTTCAACACACATGAATCACTTGCATACATTTCAAATACCATCGTTCACAATTAGAAACAATGCATACATAATATGAAAATGCAAACAATGGCAATCAATGCAAAATTGCACAAACGAGCATCAATTTCGCCGGAGCTTCCAGCTGTGTAAGTTTGGTCATTCAAATTCATCATTCAGCATATATGAAAAGTAAGCAAGCAAGAATTAAAAGTAAGCAAAAGAGATCCAAATAGGTCGTCTGTTCCGCGACGTTTGTTTAGAATAAAGATGGAGTGTTTTTGTTCCCAATTGGAAAAATAGATATAAAAACCTGTCTCTCACAAGACTCTGCCACACTTGATCACCATGCCTCAAACTGTTAGATTTAAGAAGCACTAGAAAATATCAATATGCCAGCTCATGGGCGTTACATGAGAATTTGAAATGTAGACCGTGGTCGTTTGATCGAAGCTTTCGAAGGCAATATACCTAACACTATCTTGAACTTGCAGACAATCTTGGTATAAACAGAAATTACTGCCAGGTCAATCAGTTGCCGCGTATCTGAGACCTGGCAGACGGGAAAAACTGCCGAGTAGGGGCCAAGAAACACAAACATGGACCACGACATGAACCAGAAATAATCAAAAGGTGAAAGAAATGAAAAAGCCTCGCACCGTATACATTCGTTTTTTTTCTTTCATTTGAATGCAAAAATGTTGCTAAATAGAATGCGCAGAAATGAAAACGAAAACAAGAATCTCATGCAAATAACCATTGACCAACCGACTGCTAAATAAATGAATGATCACTTAAAACCGAACGACATACCTTCAATTTAGGATGTGTTAAACATGAAAATGTCAGGTCTAAAAAACGAATTTGAACGCTTGAAATCTAATACGAACCACGGAATGACAGCAGGGCGCTACTTTGCTTCAAATTGGCCATGTCAAGCTGTGAATTCGAATGTAATTTTTGCGAAATGGCCGAAATTGGGAAAACCTACATCACACATGCTAGTTTGTGCACAGAGTAATTTGAAGTAACAATAATTGTATTCTTGTCACTTTATTTAAGCAAGTATCAATTCAGCTGTTTAATGTTGTCTTGTTAAAGTGGAATCATTAAATTGGAAGTAAAACTTACAATATAGAATACGTTCATGTCAACTCTGTTCATTGGAATTGATCTACTGTGCAACGGGAAACAGACGAACTGAGCACATTAGTTGATGAAGTAAAACTGAGTTGGTAGGTGTTGCAAGAATTAACTCGTGCACTACAGTTAGCTTTAAATAGTCTCGACGGTTGTCCTGTCACCACCAAACAATGAACTTCTTTCGACCAAACTTCCCCGCCTTTGTTTCCCATCGAAACCTTTGTAGATAACGACTTATGTCGATACCTCAACGATAATCTTTCATTCCGCTTTGGGTAAGTCAAGAACCTTGGCCAATGTTTCATGATTAGTCGATATCTGTACATATGCCTCCACACAAAAAAAAACATTTAAATTTGCCTTTAAGCATCATTATTTAAAGTACGGGTCACATCTTTAATGTGGTATTGTCAAAGGCGACATTTCATACTTCTTTGTCTTATTCGTGTGTGGTTTGATCCTCAAGGGAAACTACTCACATTCACAATATTAACTTGAGTCTTATATAAATTCATATCGCAGCCTCCGATTTTAAATTGATACCATCGATTTCGTTTAAGATGCGCAGGCGCATACACAACAATTTGTGTTAAAAGAAAATAACACGTGATGTGCTCAGTTTTCTCCATTTATAGTTTGGCCTTCGGCGAAGAAAGACACAATTTCCTGTATCATTGACATCCTTAGATCCAGTAAGTACATACGGTCACGGTGACAGTCTTGTCTGTATTTGAACAATCACAACGGGTATAGAAACCGATGTTGATTGTGTGCTGGTGACAATGCAATGTATAGTGAACTACAGGCTAAAAAAAACGACACCTTTAATTAAACGCCCCCCTTTACATTATCATTTTCCTCCAATCACCACTCGAAGATGCAAGTAGTTTTGACAAAGAATTAAAAAAAACCCAGAATTTCATCTCAAGCCAATCAAATACAAGCTCTTGAATAAAATAATGGTTAAAATGTCATGAACTTGACAATTGGAAAGACTTTCGGCAATTAGTTTCTACATGCTTTCGAACATAATTATTACAAGCTTTATAGGCCTATGCATTAAAGTTCAGTCCTATACATGATTTTGAATTGTTTTTTTTTTCTTCGGCCGATCAGTTCCTTGGGGGTGGAACCGTGGAAGGCGGGTGCTCCTTTAGTAGACCTTTAGGGTAGTCCTTTAGTAGACATTTATAGTACCTTATTAATTCGGACTGGAATTTTAAAAAATGCTTCACCGGCCGGGCCGGCCCAATCCTGTCCGTACTAGCGGTATGCAGGCCAGTAAATCGGTCGGAAATCATGTATAGGACTAACTTTAATGCATAGGCTTTTAAAGGCTTGTAATAGTGTTCGAAAGCATGCAGAAACTAATTGCCGAAAGTCTTTCCAATTGTCAAGTTTGCAGGCCAGTAAATCGGTCTGAAATTGCCTACGCCGGCAAATTCTTCAGTATTTAAGCACATTGTGTGCCATGAACTTGAGGGTTTGTGAGTAATAGTGGTGGAAGCCGTGCACAGGACCCCGAGCTTGTATTTCTGTGTAATTTGGATGAAATTGGGGCCCTAAAAACGCTCCATTTTGCAATGGAGTGTAGGCACCCGTTTTTTCAAATTTCTACCAAAAGTCATCAGATTACCCTCAAAAACTTGAAAAGAAATGAAAGATGATGAAATAAGCAATAATTTGATGCTAGTCTTGAATACCTTGGAGAGTTGTGAGTATTGTTTCCTGAATTTCTGAAGTGGGGGCATTTATCATTCAGTTTATTTGCTGGTTATCTGGACCCAGCGGGGCGATCTAGCGCCCTCTATCGTTCAATCATGCGATCATCGATCGTCAAATTAGCAAAGACAGCTGCAACCCGAAATAATCGTGCGAAACTTTATTAAATTGTTGATGTTTAAAGAAAATCATGTATAAGTGCAAGCTTGTCGTTGTTGGTTATCTGCGCCCAGCAAAGTTAGTCATGTCAAGATCTTTATCAACGCAGACTGCTTTGGAAGGTTCAGCAAGGGTCGTCTCGAAAACGCATCTAAAAACTGGTACGCTTGGCAGGCATGGAAATGATCTGACATGTCTGGAGGGAATGGGGAGGGAGGGTGGGCCGGGCATGGATGGGGGGGGGTTCAAAATCTGGAATTTTTGGCCTCAACACACAAATTATACAAAATATTTACATCAGAGAAGGAAAAAATGTTGCAACCTGACGCCACTTATTTTCTTCATATATCGTCTCGATGAAGGTTAGACCCGTGAACGTGGCGTTGTAGTTTACAAGCAAGCCATGTTCACGGGTCTAGATGAAGGTCAGTCATTGCAATAATGATCGTGATGATCATGAAGACATCACATGCGTGAATCTGGGACTGACCATGGACTGACTCACCAAGTCAGTTTTGTTAGGCCATGGAGGAATATGTTCTTATTCCTCCATGGTTAGGCTTAGAAAATCTTCTCGACTCTCCATAGACTTTGAACACAACCGCTGAAGTGGCTTTGTTGTGCTCATTCTTGAAAATCACGCATTCTTAAGAATGTGCAACTGGATCCTTGCGCAATCTTCGCAAAAAATAACTCTTCCAGATTGAGCGCACATTCTTAAGAATGCGCGACAAGATAACGGTCTTGTCGATGCCGAGCACCGGCTGCGCTTGGCAAGTCTAGCTGCATCCTCGTTCACTGACTCTCAATAATTATACTGTTGCAACGCAAGGCGCTGAAAAGTAGAGTGGATATGATAAGTATAGGCGTATTGATATGGGGGGGGGGGGACCGGGAAAAAAATAAGAGACATAATAATACTAGTGGAAAGAATTCTGATTTTTGGGATAATAAAAGCGGGGGGGGGGGGGGGGGGGGGGGGGGACGTAAGAATGAAGAATGTGAAGAATGAGAATGAATACTGCGACATCCCATAGTGCTTATGCTATTTCCCATTTAAATTGCCACCAATTTATTGTTCACACCCCACCATTACGTCGCAGAGCTGGATTCTATCTAGTAAAAGAGCAATTTGGCAGCTTCTGGACATCGTTTTTTTTTCGTGGCATGCATATGATACATACAGGGACTTGTAACTTGTCTAGCCTAAACAAAGCACTTCCCAGACTAGTTCCCAGTCCTCCGTTATTACAAAACTTCCCATAGTGGGCAGAAAAAAGCAATAATAACATGTTTAATTTGATTCAAATTATCGTAGTTATACGAGTACAGAAGCATAGAACATTTCTTTCCTCTTTATATAAATTGTTTCCCTTTTAACCGCTTTACATTTCATTTAACATAATTATGTCATGCAATGTTTGTTAAGATTGGGCAAAATTCATAAATTGTGCACGTGATATTCCCACCCAATCTTAAGAATGAGCGCTCATTCTTAAGAACGCGTGCTCGTTCTTAAGAATGGGCGCTCATTCGTAAGAATGCGCGCACATTTCTTAAGATTGCGTGATTTTCAAGAATGGGCACAACAGCTTCAGGTTGCAACACATTTTTCAGAGAAAATCACAAGAAGGGGAAAAAATATATTTTTGGATTTTTTTTTTAAAGTCCCTCGGGGCAGTACGAAGTTTGACCATATTTGCAATAAAGCCTTTTAAGTTTTAATGAAGTTCTTCATAATTTTATTTAGAAAAATTAAAGCTGACTCTTTGACTAGGACCGGGGCCTGAAATAAAGGCATTGCAATGGGGTCACTGCTGCTCTGTCTCGAGGTCCCGGGTTCGAATCCTGCATGAGTCAATCATTTCTTGGTTGAAACGTTTCGTCCATCACAGGTGACCCTCTGCCAGAGTTAAGAGCTGGTTTTTCCATGGCTGTTTAGCGCCAAATTATCTCCGTTTTCTCATCGGGTTCGCTTGGTTTTTGCAACAAAAGGAATCAGGTAAGACTAGGGCAGCTTAAAACAGGACATCATCAAAGTGAAGCTGAAATTCAGCAAATGAGATTTGCATTTCTTGGAGACGTCGACAATATTTAAATTTCATCCTTTTTCACCTACAGTTTTCATTTTCCGTAAAATTTAAAATGGTATTAATATCTGCTCACTGTACTAGTAACCACTACCACTGCCACTAATAATGTGTATTTGTTAAGCACTGCCCTCACATACCCATTCACTCCTGGGCGGGGAGAAGCAATTAGGGTAAAGCGTCTTGCCTGAGGACACATGCTCCTGAATTCTAGCCTGGACTCGAACCCGCAACCTGCAGAATTACCTACAGATCTTCAGCTCGATGCTTCAGACCACAAGGGCACAGCCCGCACACTGTTGGGGAAATCATGACCTAGTAGGTAAAGGGTGTGGGGTTCGAATCCAGCAGCTGGCATTTGTAAGTTTGAGTCCTTGGGCAAGCCACTTCGACCACGCTTCCCACCCAGGTGTAAGAATGGGTACCAGCATTAGCTCGAGTGACTTGCAATTGTCGGGCATCTTTTCTGGGGAACAGATAGCCATTTAAGGCCATTGAAATCAGAAAAAAACACTGACCCACTTATAATATTTGGCTCAGGAAAGACTGCATTTTCACTGCCCTTTTTTCTTTCCTACACAAAATAGTGACTTGGCCTTCCAGTCCTTTCTTCTGTCAGTGAATCCTATAGTTTTTTTTTTTTGCACTATGGTATGCCCAAATCACCTCGAGCTCAAGTAAATAGAAAAATCACTTGATTTGTCCTTGTAAACTGTTCGTCTGTTCAGGAAGCTAATAGTTCTGAATGCCAATTAACCTTGACAGCTACGATGAGATCAACTGCAACTTGGGGACCAAGCCGAGTTCCTTGTGGAGCGCAACCCAGCGGGAAAGTCCCCGTGTTGGAAATTAATGGGAAAGTGATCACCGAGTCGAGAGTCATCAGTGAGTTGATCGAGGAATTGTATCCAGATCCCCCACTCTACCCGAAGGATCCGTTTGACAAAGCACAGGACAGAGTGAGTGATCGTGGAAATGTACACATCCAAGGTGGGTTGCAGTTAGTCGTAATTGGAGACTGGATTCGGAATGTTGCTCCTCGAATGCAGCCAGTTCCAAGCCTGAGCAAGGGCAGCAAGCAGCCGTTGCGGTAGAGGCTGTTTTAACCAGATGAGACAAGTCTAGTCTTGGGAATGTTGGCGCCCAAAACCAAGAAGTTCTAAGCTTACCCCACACACGTGCACGTTGAAAACGCATGCGTGAAAGATGCCCAGATTTTGTGGGGTCCTAGCGCCCAAGTTCTAATTCCTCTTGTTAATATTTCCTCTAACGCCACAACTGGCAGGTTGACCAAGGAGCTATGGATCCGGACCAGTGGTGCACCAAGGGGGGGGGGGGGTTTGGGGGCTTGAGCCCCCTCCCCTGAGGTCAATTTTTGGGGGATTTTTTTTCGTCCAACGATTTGACCTTGGTGCTATATATGTGGCCTATGTAAGTGACGCGGCCAGATATTTTGGGCAACATTTTTTGACAAAATTTACACTTCTAAAAAGTTTGAACAAAAAAATTGTGAGGCCCCCCCCCCCCCCCCCCCAGCCAAATTCTGGGTGCGCCACTGATCCCGACTGTCTACGTGAGGATAACACAATCCAAATGTACTTTTCAACCTAGACCCGGTGTGCAATATGCTGTTTTAACAAAATTACCACAAATCACTTTTTTTCCCACAATATAATTACAATTGTTTTGAAGACGATCCTCTTCTGCCAAGCGATACAGTCTGTGCGGTGCAGGAGAAACGGAGCTAAGTTCTGTACCTACACAGCGCATGCAGCTGGCTTGTTTCCGGTGTATTGATTTGGGAAAACAATGTATCGAAACATGTATCCAACCATCCATGCTTGACATGTTAATGTGTATTGCGTAAATGCAAGCTCGATAGTGTTTGGTACCACATTATGCTTTCCAGACATTGGCGCCTTGCCTTATTTAACATGATATACATGTATTTCCAGTTCATTGAATTAGAGAAAAGCTGTAAAAAAAATAATAAAAATTTTACGCAGTGAGGTTTTAGCAGTACAAATGTACTTCAAAATATTTCCAGGATTTATTAAAGGTGACTCGTGATTTTGGACATCGACTCGACTTTGTGACTCGTGACTCGGACTCGGACTCCACTTGTATGACTTGGGGCTCGGACTCGGGAGAGGTGACTCGGACTCGGACTTGATGTGTGGCGACCACCAATTTAAGTCTACTTTATGTTGTGCCCTTTTTTTCCTCCTAATGTTTCTTCATTCAGGTCCAGAACCCAATGATGAAAGCTATATTTACAGGGGATATGAAGGCCGCTGGTAAACTCATGGATGGCCTGGGATTCATTGAAAGGGAACTTGTTAAGAGAGGGACCCCTTTTTTGGTGGTAAGTTCAAGTTGGGGGTGTTATCCTCAACTCTCAATCCTAACTAAATTTTGTGGCATGGGTGGTATTGCACTTGACTCTCATCAATGTGCCCGGGTTCGATTCCCAGCTTGGGTCATATGCGAGTAAAGTTGTTCATTGATTCTCTTTTGTGCCACGAATGTGTTTTCCAATTCAGAGTTGGTTTTTATTTGTTTGGTTTTGATATTAACCAAATCCAACAGCAAGATAAAATGCCAAATTACTGGATAGGTAAACATTTTCTTTTGTGTGTAGCGATAGTGCTGGCAGCTCCACGTTTTTGCTCTCCGTTCTTTTCACATTTTATATGCTTCTGTTACATTTATTCATCATTTTTGGCACCATGTGAATGTTGGAGACTCGGTGATCATCATGGTACTGCCTGATCTCTTCTGATCATTCTGATTTGGAGCATATTTTGCATTTGCAATTTTCATCATGCCATTCCCCTGAGGTACAGAACTGTAACGTTAACGCCATGCCACCAACCGTCTTTTGTCATTGACTATCCGCTTGACTCGTCTGGACAAGACGTGACATTCATCTCACACAGGCTCATCAAGATGGACAATCGAGTTCAGCTGCTCTACAAAAACAAAACTGAGTGAATCTTCAGCTGGTGTTGCGGGGGACTATCCTATTGTCACCAAGGTACTGTTATATAACAATTGGCTCTTCTGGCCGACATCGACGACCAACATGTACTTCCTATGATCGGACTTTTCTCCTCGGTCTTAACCGTGACTTGTCTTCCCCAAGTTGCAAACTATCCAGGAGGTGTGCCATGAAAATCTCACATCTTAAACTTTCTCAGGAAACCCTGCATAACACACAACACTAATCTACATCACCTCGTCGTCGTACTCGACGTGCTTACAAGGGCGGTATTCGTAGGAAAAAGCCAAACATGGCCTGCCAATACGTGTGATTGTTGGCCGTCCTAACCCCACTGAAAGTTCTCACCCTGATTTTGTAGATGAACCCCCAAGATCCCACCCTATTCATCAGAACTTAGTCAGAGTTATCATCCCCAACCTTGACGATCATGTTAGTTTTTGCATGCTAACGCACGGTCTCTTCGCAACAAATCCACAGATTTTCAGGACTTTGTCATAGAAAACAACTTTGACATCGTGGGTATTTGCGAAACCTGGTTAACTGAATCCGATGAAGCAACATAGCCGACTTAACTCCTTGTGGTTATGAAT